AATCTCATCTATCTCTTGTTCATCGGGCTCAGAAGTCCGGAAGATATCCGCAAAATACTCGGAGATGATCGACTCAATCACCCTTTCTTCCGACTGCCAAATCCCATTCTTGTCCTTAAGTCTGTCCATTTGGTTTCACTTTGTTCGAGTGGTCGCCCTAGCATGAAAAAACTTAGTATTTCTGTCGCCATCCTTCATCCAATGAGCTTTGCTTCTTTGGCGCTAGTACGTATCTTTGTCGCCATATAAGTTTTCAAGTGTCTCGCGAGTTTTCCTGATTTCTTGACGAACGGTGCTCGTCTGATCCCCTGTTTCCAAGAGCTGAAGCCATTCCTGGAGCTTACAAATTTTTTTGAAATGGTGCTTTCCCGACGTCTCTATTCCATCTCATAAAAACGGCCCGACACTCCTCTGTGCAGTTAAGAAGTCACTCCACTGGGTCCGAACCGCTCTGTCCCTCCCAAGCTTTCCTCACAAGATCCTCACACTCTTCGCGTCGTACCCACATAGCCTCAAACCTGAAGGGCTTCCGACGTCTCCCCCCTTTTTTATGACCTCTACCATGAAGTTTCAACAGGATCGGAGCATGATCTGATCCAAGAAAGGGAAGATGGCTCACTATAGCCATCGGAAAGAGGTTCGCCCAACTGCCCGAAACACACACTCGATCCAACCTGCATCTAATGGTACGTGGGTGCTCTTGTCTATTTGACCAAGTGAATGGATAGCCTTCTCCTCCCAAGTCTGACAACTGAGAGTCATCCAATGCTTCTCTGAAAGCTTCTATGCAGTGAGGTGTTCGGTCTATTCCTCCTTCTTTTTCCGAATGGGAGAGGATTTCATTGAAATCGCCTCCAACCGCCCACGGAAGTGCATGGTGGGTGCCCAAAGTCCTCAAAAGATTCCACGTGATGTGTCTGCGGTGACGGTCCGGGTGACCGTAAAACCATGTACATCGCCACTGGGGCTGACCCGTGCCGCCATAGACAAGAACATCGATATGATGTTGAGAAAAACTTTGTAGAATGACGTTGATATCCTTGCGCCATAGCATTGCGAGTCCTCCCGATCTGCCCACTCTCTCAACTGCCACTCCATAAAGGTTCCATTTGTTCTTGAGACTATCAATCTGCCATTGTGTTGCTTTCTTATAATTGTATATATTCCACTTATTATCTTCACTTTATTATCCACGTCATTCTAATTTTTTATTATATATTTATTTTATAATTCTCTCTCTAATTTCCCCTCTCAACGCCCCGTCGCCCCTCCTCTCTCCACCTCCATCCACCAACTCTCTCTATTTTCTTCATATCTCTCTCCTCTGCCTGAATCACGCCTGCTTTTTCTTTCTCTTTCTCTTTCTCTTTCATTTATCTCCATATTCTCCATTTTTCTTCCTCGATACGGCGACCTACCACCAGATCCGGCTATCCCCAACCCTCGTTCCCCGGATCCGCCGACATCTGGCCTCCACCGACCACCAACTATATAACATACACACTGTTTTAGACTAAAACTGGAGTCTACAATCGGTTTCCGGGCTCATTGGGTTTAAACTCTTTGGCCCCCGTTTTTTACTTTTTCAATTTGACATGAAATTTTAAGTTGTTGCCATAATTACATCCGAATAGAAATAAAGAAAAATTAATGAAAACATAAATGTAGAAAATGAGATAAAATAAAGAAGATTGAAATCAATTGCCGTTGTTTTATTGGAATTTGTAATCAGGCATTTAGAGAAAAAAGAATTTCAAAATTCAAATTAAAACTAGTCAATATTATAATTCAAGGATGAATTAGTAACTTCACATAATACTTTTTTGTTAAATTTACAGAATTACCCTTTCTGGCCAGCCAGATTCTGGCCGCATAGCTTTATCGTTTAATAAATTTATGATAATTACCTTTTGGAAATTGGCATAAAAGTTATGGATGTTGAGTATTTTAAAAATAGTGCAGTCAAAATGAACTTTCACAATGATCTTAAATTATTAAAATTAATTAAACTTCTGAAAATTTAGTATTTCAAAAACAACATAAAACGTAAACTCATAGCAAGATATACAAATCATTCATTATTTTATGCACATGACAATCAATGCAAACAAACCAATTGGATTAATTAAATATAATGTCCTAATATTTGATATTTATAAGAATCAAAATATATCACAACTTGTGAATACTTTGAATTTCCAACATATATACTTTAAATCTGTCTCGAGCAAAACCGTTGGCGCTGCAAATTCATCAAATCATCTTTTATGGCATTTTAGTTATTTAAACTAATCCTAAATAACTATAAGTCTATATATGTAAGATCTACTTTTTTTTTTATAATAATAATTATTTTAAACAACGAGAATTCTAATATATATATGAAGGAATCTGCAGCCAACAATATAACAATACAGGTGCACTGGGTAAACCTACACTCTCGTATTATAGCTTATAAACCCATATAAGAGACGTAAACCACACTAGGATAACCATGTGTGACAAATTTCACCTAGCAATCGTAATATAGGGTCTACGAGATGTTACACCTGATGAAAAAGCATCGGGTAATTTTACACCATAAGTCCATACAAATAATTATGCGTTATTTTACGTAATTCAATAGTACAAAATCACCGAATTTATTTCATCAAATGTAGCATATGGAGAATCGCAATATGAAATAGTGGTATTGTTCGATAGTCTATAATAGGAGGGCAATGATATTCCTATTTTGCCATGAAAATAGCGCCAAGTCTCAAGATGCAACATTTTCCATTATAAAAGTTTCAAGTTGTGTAATTTTAAATAATAAATTATATTTATATTTTATATATGGTATATATATATATATGTAGCTATGTGATAATTGGATGCCCATCTCTGGTAAAGCAACTTAGGTGGCATCCGCCGACGGTAGACGACAAAACATAAATAATTAAATAATGTTTTTTTTCTTTTTCTTCCTGATTTTTATGTATCAATTAATTGTTAAATAATATTGTTAAATTGCAAGTGAATATAAATTCAAAATAGTTTACGTATTTTTTGTATTTATTATTTTGGAGTAGAAGATTTGTAGGGGCATGGCCAGATTTGATGGGTTTAAGAAAATTGATTATATAATTTATCAAATCCCCTTTATTTATTTATTTATTTATTTATTTTAGATGCCCTTTATGTATTTTTTTTCAAATTCATTCTATTTATAGACATTCCAAATAGATCAATACTAAATTGGAATCATCTTAAATCCGTTCAGCTCCAACGTATATAACACGAAAACTTCAATCATTTAATGTATAACGTTTCGGATACATTTCGTATCTGACACTCGGCGACATCTGCTGAACAACTTATTGATCATTTTGTAATTTATAAAGAGTTAGAAACATATTTATATACCAAATTTCTAAATATTTTTGTTGCTTTCATAATTATCTCCATGATTTAATGATCAATTGCAAATTTATAGTTGATAATAATATGTTTTTTGAATATATTTGTATGTAAATATATACAAAAGAATTTATATATAAATAAAATCTTATATATATTTATATGCATATTTATAAGTATACCCCTACACTTTTAATAATTACACATTTTCTCCAGTTCCCGTTTTCCCATTATAGAATAAGCGGTTTCCTCATATTAAGAAAATGGGGATAAAACTTTTAATAGTTTTATGTAGTTTACTCTAATCACTTATTAATAATGTTTTAAGCCAATTGACAGACAGAAACACAAGATTGATCACGAGCACAAGACATATTAATGACAGTTCAATATATAAACAAACATATCAAACAAAATATATATATATATATATATATATATATATATATATATATATATATATATATATATATATATTATAAAAATATCATAGCACTCATCATATATGAATTATTAAAAGTTTGGAACATTCAAAACCAACCATTTATGGCAAAAATAAATCTAAAGGATCTCGTTGTCTCTTAAATATTAATTATTCAGTAATTGTAATTGGTGATATAAATATTAAATAATTCATCTAAGTATAATTTTTTAAATGAGTACTAGAGCCATGTCAAACGAAATATCTTGTTTTCGAATTCCATCGCCCCTAAAGGCGAACGCAAGGAGCAACAAAAAAATTTAATTTATATATTTTAGGCTATTTCTCCCTTCTAAAATTTGAAAAATCCACTTGTAATGTGTTATGTCCAATTGAATGAGTCTAAATAATGATATATGGTTATATTATACTCCCTCTGTTCCATAATATCTGTCTATTTTGAGAATTTTTTTTGTTCCATATTATCTGTCAGTTTACAATTCCAATGCTGCATTAATTGCTTATTTTTCAAATTTACCCTTATTAACTCTATAGCACTCTTCCTGCATTAATTAATAAACAAATGTATTTTGGTCCATCAATATCTATTTTCTTAAAATCAAAACATATTTATTGAAATTTTTAAGATTTGTGCCAAGGTGAAAAACAACACCTATTTAGGAACGTAATGAGTATTAGCTAAAATATTAAATATATATTTATTAACCGTTAATTCTTTAAAATACCCTAAAATAAATTTGGGGCAGCTATATTCGAAACCTTGTAAATCATTAGTTCATTATTACCGAACTCGTCGCCGCCCCTCCCCCCAACACACAACACAAAAATTTGTTGAGTCCGCCTCTGCACCGCACCGCACCGCACCGTCTCATTTCATAAATTCCACTTCAAAATATAAGGACTGGAGATATAAATATTAAATAATTCACTTCACGGACCAGTTTAAAAAAATTATAACTTTTCAAATAGCGGTACGAAAATCGATTATAGTGAAAAAGCCGATACCATCTTATCTGTCTAGAATCTTGGGATTTCATTATCAACCAAAAGCATAACTAATTAAATACAGCCCTACCACATAAGGCAAGGGTAGTTATAACTTATAAGCAACAAGAGAGGGCATTATTAATTATATTAATTGATCATCTAAAGAAATTAAATGGAGTACTCTTCATTCTTCAAGCAAGAAGAGAACCAAACCCTTTCATTCACCACTTCCAATAGTGCAAAAAACGAAGAAACCGAATCTTCTTCATCGTCGGCCGATTTCTCCGGAGAAGAAGCTTCTAGAAGAAGGCTAATCGGAGTAAGAAAGAGGCCATGGGGAAAATACGCAGCGGAAATACGAGATTCAACTAGGCGTGGGACCCGCGTTTGGCTCGGAACATTCAATACCGAGGAAGAGGCCGCCTTGGCGTACGATCAAGCTGCATTCGCGATGCGGGGCCCGTCGATTCCGCTCAATTTTCCGTTGGAAAAAGTTGTGGAATCACTTGAGAAGATGAACTATAGCTGCAAAGAGGGTTCTTCACCTGCGAAAGCGCTAAAGGAATCGAATAAGATGATAAATTTGTCGACTAAACGAAGAACGATTGGCGGTAAAAAGAAAATTAAAAATACAACTGAGGAGGAAGATATTGTGGTTTTTGAGGATTTAGGATCTGATTTGCTGGATCAACTTCTATCAGAATTCAACACCTAGTGAGAGAGAAGCTTTTTCTTTTATTTATTTTTTCTATTTATTTACTTATTATTAATTTTTAATCAGTTCTTATAAACCCTAGATCTCATAAACTTCAAACTATTTTATAAATTTGAGCCTATGTTCTTTAAGTTTGAATCAAGAAATTACATGAAGTACTGTACATTTTAATTTTAAAAGTCGATTTTATGAATCGTTGTTAGAACGCACATCGGTCGAAAGAATTCAAATTTCCGACCTCCGTAATTAATAAGATTAGTCGAAATATATTTTAGTACTTCATAGACTAAATCCTAATTATAACTTGTAGTTATTTCTCAATAGGGTTCATCACTAAGTTATAATAATAATTGTTGAAATATTGATTGATAAAAATATTGACAAGTTGAAATTTCATGTTTGATGATAAATTAAACATATATGCCAAGTGAAATTAATTTGTTATATATACATGGGAGCCCACAACTTTTACTTTTGTCTTGTATATTACTACAATTTGAAAGTCTATCTCCATTAATGTATTATCTAGTATATATAAGAACTAAGTTGATATATGTTGACTAATTTAACAGGTCTCATACAAATTGTTTTTATGGCATCAAATATCAAGAACCTCAATTTGTTGAAGTATATAAGAGAGCGCGACCAACTCGAGTTCGATTTCTTCCGTCAACACTTTCTCTAGGGTCGAATGTCGAGCTCGTCCAGTTCTTGTTGACTTAGTGTGGTTTACATATTTGATGCAGTTTGCAGACTATTGCACGAGAGATCAAAGTTTACTCACCGCACATATGTGACAACTTATTCCTTCATAAAAAAGAAACCAAATAAATCAATTTGGTGAACTATGATATTATATACTTGAAATATTGGAGATAATAACATGTATCAATTCTTCATCCGATATTCATCAACTTCGATCCGAAAATTCATCTAAATATGATATTATTTTGCATGAAATGTAAATTAAAGTGGAAGATGTGAACTGACTACTATGGTTAATTAAGTATATAATATTGAAATGACAATTACAGGGCAACTTTTAGTAAATGCAGGACATTTTTCAATTTTAAATTTTGATCCCACTCCCTCCATTTATTATCTCTTAAACTTATTATTCTGAATAAAAATTCTACAATTTCACTCTTATATTTAAATTAATTACATTTAGCACTGTTGAAAAAAGGCCATCACTTTCTATAGGGTCGATTGTCGAGTTATGTTCTTGTGTTTTCTAGTGTGATGTACTTCTTTTATTTGATTTGGAGATTATTGCACGATGTACCAAAATTTCTATAGGGTCGATTGTCGAGCTTGTCAAGTTACGTTCTTGTTTTTCTAGTGTGGTGTACTTCTTTTCTTTGGTTTGGAGATTATTGCACGACGTACCAAAGTTTACTCGTGCACATATGTTACACCGGATTCATTCATTAAAAAAAAGTAATGATCAATTTAGTTAAGATGAAATGTGAATTACTATGGTTAATTACGGTTAGACCCCCTCTAGTTTAATTTGAAAATTCACGACCTCTCTCCTAGTTTGGCATTACCCAAACTATGACTTTTATTAGATTTTATTTTTACCCTTAATTAATAGGGAAATTTGCTAGACACCCCTTATTTTGGACTTATATAGGTAGAAGTCCTAGTTGCTAGATGAATATAGGCCTAGGTCCTTTCACATAAAAAAGTAATATAAATTAAATAATAAAAAGAATATATAGACATAAGTACCCTTATTGAATAAACATATTTTAGGGGATTCAGTTATTTACGTTAAGTTGGGAAATCAAATCCCACTAATCACGATTGAAGGCAGAGTATCGTGTAAGACGCTTGAAAAACAGATCTTAGTCGATTCAAGTGAAATATGAGATCATCATGAAGAGTTCGAGAAACCAATACCATCGTATTACAATTAAACGCGAGAGTCGGTGTTGATAATTAGTGAATCCTTTTTTTTGGCCTGCAATCAACATGAAATTGAATTATACGCAAATGTTTGTCGATTGATGTTTGTTGTTTTGAATTTTCGATTTATTAATCGTCGTTTTTACAACTTAATTTTCGTTCAATATTGTTTGCAGTTTATCGTTCTCCGCAAAATTGGTGTTCAAGTAGGATGTATTGGTATCGGTGAAGAAAGTGTCGGATGCAATCAACATGAAATTGAATTATACGCAAAGGGTTGTCAATTGATGTTTGTTGTTTTGAATTTTTGATTTATTAATTGTCGTTTTTACAACTTAATTTTCGTTCAATATTGTTTGCAGTTTATCGTTCTCCACAAAATTGGTGTTCAAGTATGATGTATTGGTATCGATGAAGAAAGTGTCGGATGCAATCAACATGAAATTGAATTATACGCAAAGGGTTGTCAATTGATGTTTGTTGTTTTGAATTTTTGATTTATTAATTGTCGTTTTTACAACTTAATTTTCGTTCAATATTGTTTGCAGTTTATCGTTCTTCACAAAATTGGTGTTCATGTATGATGTATTGGTATCGATGAAGGAAGTGTCGGATGCAATCAACATGAAATTGAATTATACGCAAATGGTTGTCAATTGATGTTTGTTGTTTTGAATTTTTGATTTATTAATTGTCGTTTTTACAACTTAATTTCCGTTCAATATTGTTTGCAGTTTATCGTTCTCCACAAAATTGGTGTTCAGGTATGATGTATTGTGTTTGCTCTCCTGAATTTAAAACACGTCGTGGTAGACCAAAGAAGAAGAGGATACCGTTTATTGGAGAGAAGATAAAGAGGAAAATAAGATGCGAGAGATGTAAAGAACTCGGTAAACACAACAAGAAGTCTTGTACACATCCGATGTATTCTTAGGGGTGATGATTTTTGGTTATGCTTTTTATGTTTCATTTAAGAACTTGTGCTATCATTTTCATGCTACTATTTTTGAATTTTTTTTTTGTTTTGTTTAGTTTTTATTAGCTTATGTTGATGTTTTACCATTTATAATGAAATGAACAATTTAGCAAATGGTAAATTTTGATTAGCTTATTTTTATGTTTTGATTAGCTTATGTTCATGTTTTACCATTTAGCAAATGGTAAATTTACTACAGACAACAAACACGAAGTTATTCAACAAATTCATACCTCCATCTTTTATGTTGTAAACAGCAAACACCAAAAAGCAAATAACATGAAATTGAATTTTACAACGTGCAGTGAAACTGCCGACTTTGTTTGGTTCATTACATCGCTCGTTGCACTAGTTAGCAAACAATATGCGTAAAACACAGCGCATAATATTATACTTTAAGGAGCAAACGTGTAAAACTAGTAATTGTCTTATTTTTTAAACTGTCCTACTTAATAATTAGCGAAAATTGAAATTGCAAACATAAAAAAAGTAACATAAACAACGAGAAAAGTACGTCAACTAAGTTCAGGTACCAAAATAGCAACAATTAGTAGAGTACGTCAAATTATAGGATAATACAAGGATGTTTTACCAACTGCAAAATTATAATTGTATCAAAATGCAACCGAACTAAATATCCAAAATAGCAAGAGTTCAAGGTAGTTTCTAAAATCTGATCATTATGCGCTAATCTAACTTCACAGTGTGTTCATCGTTTAAGAATTGATGAACAAAGTCACTTCGTAATGCGCATACCCCATTTTGTGCATCTTTAATGTCTAAGGGTTGTCGGCAACAAAATTGTCGTGCGATATAAAGGACGAACATCCCGCAATCAACTGAATCAGGCTTTTGTTGTGGTGATGTCAAAACGGAAACTAATTTGGCCTTTGACTTAATACCAAATTTCATCTTCCCATTTGCAATCTGCATGAAACTCTTCATTTATTTGGCATCAACCAAGAATGGATCTTCTTTTCCGTCCAATCTTCTAGGCAATGAGGAGTTGAAATGCTCCCACGAGCAGTTAATCCTATCATAAACAAGTAGAGTCCAGTGGGGTATTATGTTCATGGGACCTTCACCTGAGTTTAACGGGAAAAGTAAGTAACGGAAATTGGTCACATCCCTTCCCGTCATGAAGTGTTGTACAATTTGAGTTGGTTTCATATTTTTTCGTATAACTCCCTGAAAAAACATAAGATATTACTTACATTACCAATTTCGTGTTTAAACTTATAAACAAGATTAGATTATATATACCAGAAGCAAGCTGGGGAATATCAGACTATTCCCCATACGTGTGGGGTCTACGCCGCTTGCAAAATGCTCTTCATCTTGTTGTTTCATCAAAAGGTACGCACAAGAGTCCATTATCTACTTATGCCATAATAACCAACCATTTCGAATCAAAAATAAATCAACGTGCAAAATATGAGAAAATATCTAAATGTACGTACAAATATACGGTATGCAAATGTTAACTACAATTTAAATGTACAAACATTATATAACAGACTGCATAACAGACTGCAAACACCAAACTACAAAAACATATTGCAAAAAACCAACATGACAAGTACCACAAATATAAAATGTAAACATCACAATAGACACACTAAACTTAAATAACAAAAGACAAATATTCATGTCTAAAGTGCAAACCACAGTTAATAACAAATTGCAAACACCTAACTCAAAACATCCAACTTAGTTAACTGATTACCCAAATGAAAAATAAAATGTGCAAACAACAAATTGTAAAATGTGCAAACAGCAAATAGTTCACGTTTTGTTTTAGAATAAACATAACCAAAGTTGTAACATAAACAAACCCTTCAATTTTTTTACCTGATTTCGGGGATTGGAAATCATCATCCTCCTTTGCTGTTAAGGGGAAAAAGAGGGGTTCTCAAATTATTATTGAAATATTTGAAATAAATAGCAAACAAACAAAATACAAAAGCAAAAAAGGAACAAAATACAAAATTTGAGATGAAAGAAAAAAAATCAAAAGCGAAAACCGAACATGCAAAATTTTTTTTACACAAAGGATCATTGATTACCAAGACTTAATCGTGTTTTGGCCATCGTATGAACTCCAAACAACAAACCCTAAACACCAGCCGTTGATTCCGAGCAATAAACAATTTGTAAACTGCAAACAGAACGAAGTCAAATTGGGCAACAACAAATCGAACGAAGGCAAACGGAATAAAGGCAAAATGCTCAGACCTG